TAAACTATTATGGTTTGCTCAATATAATAAGTCAAGATTTTTCATGACAAATTTTCAATTTAAAAAAAATTATTAATAAGAAATGCAAAGAAGAGATTGAAAAGTACTTTGAAAATTAAATTCAAAATATAACCTGTTGTCACAGTCTCATAGCTATAACAACTCATGAGAGTATTTTGAAAAGAGTATATCAAAAGTTGTTTCCATCATCTCCGATGGAGCCAAAATTTCACCATTTTTTGGCTTTGGGGTGTGATGGAATAAATCAAAATGGATCTCTAAACTGTCTGGGCTTCTTTAATTAATGAAGTAGCACTTAGACAAACAATGCAACTTTTGACGTTGAGCCGGGGGTCTCTTTGGAAACAGCCTCTCTACTTTCGAGTAGGGGCAAGGTCTGCGTACACACACCCTCCCCAGACCCTACTCTTGTGGGATTTAACTGGGTTGTTGTTGTTGTATATCAAAAGTTGGGATTGTTTTGAGAAAAATTATAGTTGGGATTATTTTAAATGGATCATCGATAGTTTGAAGTGTTTCCGTCAGTTTTTCCTTATCTATTTTACTTACACTATGTTTGGTTCAAGGAATTTGGAAGGAAAAAAATGGGTTTCCCTCATTTTCCTCACCAAAATGGGAGGAATTTGGTTTTCCCTCTTAGTACATTTTTCCTTCTCGTTTTCTTTTCCTTCCTTTTTTCTCTTATTTTCCTCTCCTTTTTCCTCTCTGTCTTATTCTTTAATGAAATGAATAAATAGACATTTTAGAAAATGAAACTAACTACGTATTTACTATGGAGTATAACAAAGTCATATGAACCATTATCTATATATTTTTTTATCTAACTCAGCATTAGTCACTTTTACCAGATAAATATTTTTTTACAACATTTTTTCTAACAACTAGTACGAGCATGTTGTCAAAACCCACAAGCCAAAAAACTACTCTGTAATAACTAATAAGTACTCCTATCTTAAAATGATCTTCAGAAGTTGACTTGGAACGATTGTTAATAAAGTGAAATTGTTTGCTTGTGGCTGATTTAAAAGTAAGAGAAACAAAATGAATGATGCATCCCGATCCTTGAAAGGAAATGGGATTATGGTAAGAACATTTAAGGACATCCCAAAAATGAAAGTGCAAAGAAAATTATAGATTTCACGGAGTACTATGCTTAAGCTCTGTATTGGCTATACTCTAATATTCAAATGTGGGAAAAGACGGATAGGAAGGGTTAGAGAGAGAGGGGGGTAAGAAAATTCCAACCTGCTCAAAGTGAGGCTGAGGCTTGCCTCTGCAGAAATTCGACAAAGTCCAGGTTGCATTACGCAGCATGGATAGCTTAGAGTTCTCATTGAACTGCCCCAACAAAGGCAGCAAAGCGCCACTGTTAAGCACAAGATCACGGCATTTGGGTGAATCACCAGCGATATTTCCTAATGCCCAAACAGCCTGATAGCTCAAAAGATGTCAAAACCAATAGGGATTAGTTGAAATTTTAGCATTTGAAAAATTGTAGCTCTAAGTGGCTATGACTATCGATATGCTTAAACCCCTCCAGAAGAAAAATGTTATGTTCCAAAACATATACCTGTTCACGAACATCATCACTTTGAGAACTAAGAAGTCTCACAAAAATTGGAACAGCACCATGATCAATGACAACCTTCGTGTTTTCTGAAGTCCCAGATGCAATATTAGTAAGAGCCCATGCCGCCTCAAACTAGAACATCCAATCGTGTCAAATACACAGTAAGTACTAGCATATAATCGATGCGAAAAAATAACACATGCCAACAAAAAAATTTAAACCTGAAGTTGAGGATAATCATCTCTGGCAAGAAATTCGACAAAACGAGAAACAACTCCAGATTGTATGACCTCTTCAATTGGCGGGTTTCGTTCTGTCATAACATATATCAATAATAGTGTATAAATTTACAAAGAGAGTAACCTTGACAGAAATCAGGGTGGTGGGCATTGGAACCTATTGAAAGGAGCTTCCGGAACTGAGTAGTTGCTTCAAGCTGCATATTCCCGTCATTTGACCAAGCGCCAGCAACCATAGAAGGGAGACTCTCTAGCTGGAGTGGTCAAACCGGTAGTAAATTATTATCATAGAGTTTTTACTTCTTTCAAAATACACCAAAGCTGATGTGATCAGAGTATCAGACAGGTAGTAAAATCTCATCATTAAATTTTAATTTCTGTGGACATCTAAGCATCTTCAGCAAAACAGATTTTATTGATCCGTGAGATCCGGTGAACAATAAGAGCAAGTCATCGCCGGGAACAAATAGAGTTGAACAATAGCCAGTGATGATCGTACATGAAATCTAAAAGTTCAAAAGCTCAAATCCGAGTGAAACGCAAAGAAAGGCATTACGTATTGAATCGAAAAATTGACACGAACCTTCTTATCGAGAAGAGAGGCAGCAGAAGCTAAGCTAAGGAGTTGCTGAGGTTGAAGACCCTCGCGGCGCTTCTTAAGCAGGCTCTCCTCTCTTTTACTCTTCCGGATCTCGACCATGTTCTCCTCTCTTCTTCTCCGGCCATCATCGGCATCAACGGCGACTTTATACCGGCTCCGGCGAACATCGGCTTTAGCATTTGGTCTCAGCGACATGATCTCAATCCGATATAATCCAAAACGACTCGGTAGGGATACAAATAGCTCCCCCGTACGGATGAAATTAGATAACCGCCGTAAAAGCGGGCGGTCACCGGTTGCAACCGCCACTCAGCGTCTGAATCGGCTCAATAATGTTTTTCAACTTCTCCAGATGCAGGAAGGATGCCTGAATGCCATTGAAGGCCTCAGTAATTTAATCGTGGGCCTTTAAGTTGGTGATTTCGGATCCTTATCTTATGTGTCTCGGGTCCAGCTAGGCAGCGTGCGGAGCCGATCCCGATTCCCGACCCATCACGCCATGAAGACCCGTCCGATAAGAACCATTATTTTGGATTCAAATTTATTAGACGAATACATTTTGGGTACCACAAGTTTCACCACTTTTAGAGAGTAAAAATAACTATATTACTCAATGTTAATTTGAAATTTACACCATATATTAAGAGATGATGACTTATTGCCTATGAGAGGACCCAAAAATGAATCAAAATGTCTTCTCTAGAACAAACGGGTTACATATTTGTATTAATAAGAACAATCACTGAAACAACCTAGACGAATTCTTATGGACAAAAATGTATGCATTATCGTTAGCCCAATACTATTACTTAATGATAGGAAAATTAAGTGATTGTCTCATACTAACGAACAAGCAGAGTTGATTATACAAAAGGCCATCAAGACAAGAGATTTGTACAACCACATCTTCTGCCAACTGAAAATTACGTTAATGTATATAATGAATCAGCAAAAGACACAATAAAATTAGAGAGGTTGGATTGTTGGAGCATATTCTCCATGGGAGAGAAGATTGGATTTTGAAGGAGTACTAGATTATCCTTAGGTGTAAGATATGTTCATCTCGAATTACTAAAGGAGTTCAAATAAGAACATGTTCTTTTTTTACTTATTTTTATTGAAATCAGATCAAACCAGATTAAATCATAAATAATTTTAAATAAAATTACATTCAGATTAGATCAGAATTTGTTTTATTCAGATTAGAATCATTTAGATCAGACGAAAAGAAAAAACACTAAGTGTCTCTAACGAGATTTGAATTTACAAACCTTTCATTTCGTATAATCTTATTTATTTTGCATAAAAAAGAGGGATGTCTTAAATAGAACTATTCACATTTATGCAAAACACTAAAACACTTATATAATTCAAAATTAATGAAATATCTTAGCTAAAGAATGAGCATTTTTTTATACTTTTGAAAAAAAATTAAGTTATTTGTATACTAAAATTTGTATCCAAAAACATATACCGAACATTTTGTATTAATATTACTCCGGGGTATGTTAGTGTAATGATTTACATTGACAAAAAATATGTACAAATTTTCTTAATTAAACTAACTAAACATGATCAAAACACTAAAACACTTATATCATTCAAAATTAATGAAATATCTTAGCTAAAGAATGATCTTTTTTTATACTTTTGAAAAAAAGATTAAATTATTTGTACACCAAAATTTGTACCCAAAAACATATACCGAACATTTTGTATTAATATTACTTCGGGTATGTTAGTGTAATGATTTACATTGACAAAAAGTATTTACAAATTTTCTTAATTGGCGGTTTCTCCCGTGCCTTGTGAAAAGAGGGGGCATCCACGCCCCTCCACTCAATGACTGCCATTTGAACTGATGAATATAAGTTTTATTAAAAGTGTCCACCTCATAATATTTTTTTTGAAATTTCAAAATACACCCTTTTTCCCAAATCTATATTTTAAACTCTTCAATCTCTGCATGCACTGTCTCCCGCTGCCGTGTGGTAACAATTCCCCAAGCCCCGTTAGTTTTTTTATTTTCTTTTTCTTCGATCAGTTTCTTCCTCTTCTCTCTTCTTTTTCGTCCATATACTCCCGTCCCAGTGCATCGCACCAGGAAGACGCAGCACGCCGGCCGCCATCGCAGACAAAACACCCACTTGCTGATTTCTTAAAGGCATAGATAGTGGATTAACATCCATCTATTGTTCCAAACAAAAATTAAAGAAAGAATATGCTATATCTTAATTAGGGTTGGAAATTGAATGCCAAAATTGAAGATCAACAAATGGAGTGGAGACTATTACTTTGTGATTGATGTAAAGGAAAGTGTTCTGGAGTCTCTTGGTGCGATGCACTGTGACGGCAAGGAAGGGGTGCAGAAAAAATTACTCCGTAAACAAGTTAACGAAAACGGAAGACAGCTCTCTGGGATGAGTTTAAAAGATGAAAAAACATGGGGTCATTTGCAATTTGTGAAAGTTAATATGATGTGGACTATATTTTATTAAGGCTCAATTTATTTATCCACAAGGCATTCATTTAGGAGAGGGGATGAATGCCCTCATTTCGTAAGGCACCACAGAAATTCCCTTCTTAATTAAACTAACGTGATCAATTGGTAAAATTAGCTAGCTTTCCGGCGCGCTCTTGTCCGAACATCATGTCGTCGATTACGGAGGCCATCGATCCCGACGAGCGAACACCTCTTCTCCGGAGCTCCTCGCCGGAAGCTCCGACAGTCCACTCCCTCAATAGCTTGCCAGAAATCACTGTTTTAACGACGGAAGCAAGACATATGCCTTCAAGTGATTCGAAAGAACGCCTAGCCTCTCTCGATGTCTTTAGAGGTCTCACTGTTGCCGTAAGTCACCTCCTAACCTTACTTTATTTTTTCAATGTTTCCTTCCGGTAGTTCTATTGCGCCGATTTTGAATTTTTCGGTTGTGCGTTTTATTTTTGTTTCCATGCGGGGTTTTGTTAGCTGATGATTTTGGTTGATGACGCCGGAAAAGCTTTTCCGGCTATAAATCACTCCCCGTGGTTTGGGGTAACACTTGCGGACTTTGTGATGCCTTTTTTCCTCTTTGGTGTTGGTCTTTCAGTGAGTCTAGTGTTCAAGGTATGATGGTATTCAACCATTCATGAGCATTGCCGGTATTGTTGATCTTTAGTAGCTTTGGTTTGTCTATTTCCGGTAGAATAATTGCTGTTAGTGCCATTCTGCTATCTAATGTAGACAGTTTCTAGCAAATCAGCGGCAACCAAGAAAGTTTTGCTGAGGACGATTAAGCTTTTTCTCTTGGGAGTCTTTCTACAAGGTATGCAGCACTATGTTTTCCCACATCACACACAAATAGTTTCATAGACATGCTGACACAGATGAAGAGCAAGGAGGTTTTTGTGCATTATGTTCTGCTTCTATGTTCTAACTACATACGAGTAGTAAAAAGTTTTTTTTGGGGTATATGTGGTCAGGTGGGTACTTTCACGGCAGAAGTGATCTAAGTTATGGAGTTGATATAGTGAAGATTAGATGGATGGGCGTGTTACAGGTACTCAAGCTTAGCCAATTATGACACGAAAGTGACATAGTACAAAGCCTTTGCCATTTGTTTATTAATGTTCACACTTATGATCTAATGCAACTATTATTCCATAGCGGATTTCAATTGGATATCTCCTCTCATCAGTCATGGAGATTTGGCTTGTTAGCAACACTCCTGCCGAGTCACCAATGAAATTTGCAAGGAGATACTGGTGCCAAGCGTAAGCATATTCTTTCGTTTCCATCAAGGAAGTTTTTTCTTTCCATATATTCCACTTCATTGACATAGGGGCCATTCTTATTCTTGGTCCTCTATATAAGTCTCTCCCGTACAGTTCTTAATATGATTTCTGTGTGCATAATTATAGGAGGTGGTTAGATGTGGTTCATTAACTGCAGTAGTGATATGTTTTGGGACCTGAGGAAGAATTAATTTTCCCAAGATTTCCAAAGGTCTCTTTATTACCTCATATGCCTAATCAGATCATCATTTTGCAGCCTGGTTGCAGTTTTACTCGGTATCTTGTACATGGGCTTACTATATGGCCTCTATGTTCCAGACTGGCAATTTAAATCAGGTAGCCTCAGCGGCAGCTCAATAGCACCACAGTATACATCAAATACACAGACTGTGAGTTCAATATACTTGCTCCGGTATATTCTGAACAATAACATTTTCATTGTTGCAGTATTGATTGGTACAGTAACTTAATGTTGGTGAGCATTACGGAGTGTTTAACTTCCAGAACTTTATCCTGTTGATTGTGGCAATCACAGTTTGTTGACAGTCTTGACACTTGATAGTATTCTATGGCATGGACAATTATAGAATGCAAGCAGTTGTTTGGACTTGCAAATCATTTGTCTATATTTAAATTCTTACGCTCTGCTAGGTTAAGATTAGACCCTATTCTGTTCAAAGTTCAAAGAACCATCTGGTAAACAAAGTTTGAATGAGGTATATATGAATATTGATCATCCTCAGGCCTTAAACCTAACATGTTATTATGTTACCAGGTCCATTGTAGTGTGCGGGGAAATCTGGAACCTCCTTGCAACGTGGTTGGCTTCATTGATAGACTTGTTCTAGGTGAAAACCATCTCTATCAACGTCCTGTGTATAGAAGAACCAAGGTACATAACTTTCATCTTCAGGTGTTGCTTTTGCTTTTCTAGAACTTTGAATTTCTGCAGTGTCACCACTTTTTTGCTAATCCAGTTTATCTCAGTAGGAATGCAGTATCAATTCGCCTGATTATGGACCATTGCCTCAAAATGCACCTGGATGGTGTCTTGCTCCATTTGACCCTGAGGGTATTTTGAGGTTGGGTACGCCCTTTTATTTCACTGGATATACTACCAAACGTCCAAACTTGTACTTCTTTCTATTTGGCAGTTAAAATTTCATTATTATATTATCCTTTTTTCTATCCATAACCAGTTACTTGTTTTTGGTTTTAAAGTTAAAATTTGTTTTTTTGTTTTCCACTTGTTTTATAATCCAAATATATAAAATTTCCAGTTCATTAATGGCTGCCATAACATGTCTTCTTGGATTACATTATGGGCACATCCTTGTCAAAGTCAAGGTAAGATGTACTCTCCTTCCATTTGGCTGATTTTAAACAAGGTTAAATATTTACATTAGTTTATGGTACATCTTCATCTCATGTAAATGTCCTTTTGGTGTAGGATCACATGCAAAGGATATTACTTTGGTCCATATTCTCCTTCTTTTTATTGATTGTTGGATATTTGTTGGTGGTTGTAGGTAATGTAGCTCCTGTTCAACATAAATTAGATTTACAGAGTATAATGTAACAATTTGTCGTGAAATAAAATTTACATGGGGAAGTATTTTGGTTATTTCAGGGGTTCCTCTTTCTAAGCCACTCTACACATTGAGCTATATGTCCATCACTGCAGGAGCTTCAGGCATTGTTTTCACTTTCATATATTATGTTGTGAGTCTACAGCACATTTTAGTTTAAGGAAAATCATATACCTAGGTCTGAATTAAGTAAATTAGCTAGTGAGACCATATACTTCCACGATAGGTTAAACAATAACCTTTGAACTCCTTCAGGTTGATGTCATCCATTTGAGGAAGCCCACAGTTATATTTCAGTGGATGGGAATGAATGCTCTTATCGTCTATGCATTAGCTGCTTGCGACCTCTTTCCTGCAGCTCTCCAGGGTCTGTATTGGCGTTCAACTGAAAACAATCTTGTAGGTTTCTTGTTTCCATCAAGTTTTACATCCTCTTTTTTCCCGGGCAATTTTATCACTCTTCACCATTGTGTCTAAATTAGATGTCTCTACCCCTTGTACGAGCATCTTCATTAAGAAGTAAAGTTATTTGAAATTTGTTTTCGCCAAACATCTGGATTTTCAACAAAATAAAGACAAAATTCATCTCGCATCAAAGATGAAACTGAAGCTTCAGATTAATGATGAAATAATTACTCCGTGTTATTCCTAATATCCCGTATACCAATGAGTAATCCCAGTCTTCTAAAGATGACAGATAATATTCCAATTGTAAAATGAAGATAAAGAATATTCAAATAATGATGATTATGAATATTCTTATTCCCAATAGGAGTTACCAATGATTACTCCTAGTCTCCTAATATAGTTACAAAGAAGGGGCTTATTGGTCCAGACATATGTTCTCAGTACCCAAAAAAAATCCCATGTTCAATGGTATGCAGGTTGACAGCTCAGAGAGGCTATTGCAAGGAGTGTTTCATTCAGAGAAGTGGGGTACCCTGGCTTTTGTATTGCTGGAGATTCTGTTTTGGGGCATCATAGCTGGGCTCCTGCACTTGAAAAAGCTCTACATTAAACTCTAAAATTGTAAGTGCTCATTCTCTTTGTTGATGAAACTTGTACGACCTCACCATGTGCTCATTCTCCCTGATTATTTTTGTAACATTGTGCATTATTTGAAGTCAAACATAATGTGTTCATCACTGCAAGTCTAGTTGTAAATAGTTGTTTATTTTAAATTTTTGATCATACTGAGCCCACGCCTCGTCCTTGCCACTTAGGGGATGGCCGAACCCAGCATTCAGTCTCGGCACTCCACTGTACCGGTGGTATATATGGAGCCGCTAGGGTAGGGCCGTAGGATCAAAATATAATGCCAAAAAAAACCATAAGATTACAACTTCCGGGCGTAAAACTCCCTTGGAAGCTGGTTTATTCAACTATGTATACAAAGACTGCTTAAAGTGCAGCATGTAATAAAAGTTACACCTGTCCTATAAAACACTAGTCATACTTTTAGACCAAACTCAATGCACTGATACAAATGGGAGCCCGTCTTCAGTAAAACATTTCACTGTGAGAATAACCTGTTCTCCAACACCCAATTCTCTATCATGGCTTGAGCATTGAGTGATTGATCAGCAGGCACCAAATGGCCAGCAGCCAAAACCACAACATGGGTCAAATTCCCATACTTCTGCACATACCCAGCCACCTCCTCCCCGTTGTTTGTCATCCACACCCTTCTCCCCGCCGCCAAAAACTCCCCCAGCCCCTCCCATTCCATTGTCTTGATCCATGCCTCGGTCGACACCACGCCGTCCTTCAAGTCACACTGTCCTTGGTACAACAACACCTTGGTGTTCTTCACCAAGAACTCCACCATATACTTCACACTCTTCATCACGTCCGGCCCCAGAACCTTTCCCACCAAATCACCGCAAGTCTCGAACTTGATGGCTTCCTTTGCTTTTAATACCCTTTTGATCTCATTGTTGTTCAAGAAATCCGCCACCAACGCGTCCTCATATGGCATTTGCCTCCTGAAGTCCATCAGAGTTGCCAGTCCGGTCATGTTTTGCAGCGTGTCCAAGACAAGGGACCTCGCCCTCGTGGCCTCACTCCAATTCTCCTGTCGTTAAAGTATTTCACATCAGGAAATTAGATAATAATAATAATCAATTGATAAAATCTTAAGTTGAACTATATAATTGATTGGATATAGTGTCTCTTTGCAAAAATTGTCTAAAATGCTATTATTTAACTTTAAATGTTCAAAAAATTATCTAAAATGCTACTCCGGGTAGTTCTAAACCAGTGAAAAACATCCAAATTATCACCTGTTCAGTAAGGCTAATCGCAACTTCTTGGAGTTCCTCCAATTGGGCCTTTTGGTGGTCGTTGATTAACCCCAAGTTATAGGCATTGATGGCATGGGTGGCAACTTGGGCCACCGGGTGAGTCAGCCCATTCCCTATGGCGACGCCGGCCAGATTTACCCTGCTCGACTGCCGCAAGTGAGCGTTCACTTTCAGGATGTAATACCCGATCGCCGGGACATATTTTCCGGCATAACTCTCTCCGGTGATGTAGATCGGACGTGACTTGAATGAATCGGCATCCAGAGCTATGAACTTTCTGATCGCGATGAAGAGATGCCTCGCCACATCGCGTTGGTTCCTGGGGATCTCTTCCGGAGTAGACGATATACTAAACCCTACTCCGATTGGGTTATCGAGAAAGAGGAGGCCGAATTTCCGATTCCAGGCGCCGGGATTGGAAACTAGCGAGATCTGTTTTCCGCCGGAAGAAGACACCCGCCAGGGACCAAGCTCGTAGAAGTTTCCGATCATGGACGAGCAGCCGGGGCCGCCTTGGAGCCAAACGAGAATCGGAGTGTGCGCGGGAGTGGAGATCGGGTTCTGTGCTTCGTAGAAGGTGTAGAAAATGGCGGAGCCGGTGGTTGAGTTCACCGTGAGGTAGCCGGATTTGGTAGGTAAGGCTTCTGCAGGGAAGGTGCTTGATGAATCAGCCAGAGAAATGGAAGAAAAGTATCCAAAAGTGATAATAAAGTAGAAGTTGAAGACGGCCGGGGATGTTGCAGTAGAAGCCATTGTTGGATGATGTTTGTATGAAGTGTCACCAACTACTAATAATGGCGGCCTGCAGTGCGCCGCAAATTAGCTGGGAGTGGGTTATGAAAACGTAAAAAAACAATTATGAACCGTCAGGGCACGTGCAATGGGCCGCCGAGAGGGATGCGGCGCGTGGCAGCGGCGACCCATTGCAGGATGGACTTGTGTCCGGTGCTGCGGCGCGGACCAACATTGGATTGGTGCCGTTGATCCAACTTTTTTTACTCCCTCTGTCCCAAATTATTTGTCACATTTGCTTTTTCAACAGTCGCGAGAACTTTTGTTTATTTCTACGTTTTCATTGGTTATTTGATAAAATAAAATATTATTGACACCTCTTATTTCGAAGAACTTTTCATGTAGTTTTTTGATATGTAATTTTTATTTTTTATTTCTTTACCAATATGTAAATAAAATGAATTGAAAAAACTTGATATTTTGCCTCGGTAATAGAAATGTGACAAATAATTCGGGACGGAGGGAGTAAAATTTTCTAACTCTATAAATTTAGTACATTTCCAAGTTCTATTTATTTGCTTTCATCTCAGTCAATTAATTCTCATCGCTCTCATGTAACTCAATTCACTTTGTAGTTTACATTTTCTTGATATTTTTTCCTTATTATAATAATTTATTATTATTTTATTATTATTTATCTATTTTTATTAATAAATGAGTATTTTTGTAAAATTTTATATAAAGTATAAAAGAAAAATAATCTAAAATAAATTGAAAGGCAAGACAAGATGGGGATAAAATTGCAGGAGTTTTAGCGTGGTACATAAAATGAAGAAAATGATGATGTGATAGTGAAGATAGCGAGGCGAGAGGGAGTCGATTATAAATACTCTCATAAAGATAAACTCATGAACCTCAATCTAAAAAAAAGCAGAGGACCTGGAATTTTTTGAAAAAATTGAGATTACCGGAACAATAAAATACCATAAAACAGTCGAATAGTATCGAGCCGAACGATTGTTTTGATATTTGGGAATGGTACGTGGTAATTTCTTATATAAAAAAATCTCCAACGGGCATATCCCTTACATGACATTAATTGATAACATGACATTAAATCATTAATTGATAAGAAAATATTCAATCCATGTCACAGTGTATCAACAATTTCACAAAGATAAACATTTGCAAAAAATAAAAAAATAGCGTATATTATGATTTTTCGTGTTAAGCTTTATGCTTTATTAAAATACACAAATGAAACCAGGTGTTCTCATTGGGTTTATATACTATCAAATGCTGGTGTACTCAAATTAGAGTAAGAAACAAACTGCCACCCAATAGTGAGGCTTCTTTACAGCTATAGCTACTTGTCTCCTTCTCCTCAGACTCCTCACCATTATCTTTCCCCTCTTTTTTATTTCCCATATCAAATCTCATAACCTAATTCCATTGCAAATAACTAACTCCCGGGATGGAGGAATGCCGGACGAGCTTCCGGAGCCGCGGCGGAGTGGGAGAGTTCAAAATCGAGGTGCTGAGCGGGAAGAGTCCTTACGGCGGCGAGACGAAGCGGGGCCGCCCGCCGGATGCGGCGGCGCCACGACGGAGCGATGCGGCGATGCCGTGGAGGATGGTGAATGACCCGGAGGTGAAGAGGCGGAGGAGGATAGCGAGGTATAAGGTGTACGCGATGGAAGGGCGAGTGAAGGCCACGATCAGGAAGGGGGTTTGGTGGGTCAAGAACAAATGCTCCCGAATCATCCATGGCTACTAGAGCTCATTTCTTAATTCGCCATAGATATCTTGTACTCCCAGCCTTGTTTGTTGATGATTATTGTTGTTAATCAAATACTCTCTTGCTCCTATTCAATTGCATTTGTGATTGTTTCCCAAATTAAAGTTGTGTGGGGTTATTGAGACAGAGTTATTTGATACCAATAATATTGTTGTCAAATGACGAGAGCGGGAATATTATTGGTATCAATTATTGGTATCAAATAACTCTGTCGCTCGTCATTTTATACCAATAATATTGTTGTCAATCTGTGAATCAGTGAGAATGTGAGGTGCAAGGAGCACATGGGCTTCCGGGATAGAAACTACTTTCGAGCTCAACAAAAACTCTTAAATATTTAATGTCATAATATAAATTTCCATGAATTTAACTATTTGGAATGCTCATTTAGGGTATAGTGATTTCTTTACACGGAAGTGGCATTGATGAGTTTAGATTTTAGACCCATCATCATTATTATAGTCACACATCACCTATCATTTTGTTTAACTTTGATGTTTTTTCTAATACTCTCTCATCTCTCTTGAATATTCATCTAGTTTTAAATTTTTACAATCAATTCAAATTGACTTTTGGCTTATAATTCAACGAAAATTATATGTGATATTATTTAGGTCAAGAAATATTTTATGAAATAAATCTAATAAAATTATTTTTGTATCAATACTTGAAATAAATTTGATTTAATTAATGGTCAAATTTTTTATATAATCTTGACTATAAAAGATTCAAACCAAACCAATACTCCACAAAAGAAATATCATATGAGTATAATTTCTATTTTTTAATTTACATATATATTTAAGTAAATTTAATCAAACGTAAGTACAATCAAATATCGTAAACTAAAAAAAAGAGATGAAAGTAGCTTGACAGCTTGAGTAGAACAATTGAGATCATTTTTTTTTTTCAATTTTGGTATTATTAATATAATAAGTTCTATTAAAAATAACATTAGTAAAAAACAATTAATCAAATTGCTGAACAAATAACATGCCTCTAATGTAACAAATGCATGATAACACATCATGAGAAAGTTTAACAAAAATCTCGTTAATTATACCGTGTTTAGCAAAAAAAGAAAAAAGAAAAATACTCTTGACTGGTGCGCAATAATAAAAACAATTTTCTTTACAAAAAAAAAAAGAAGAAAAATAAAAAATGTACTCCGTAATTAACAGGAAGAATGACACTCCGTTTATGGACAAGGGATGTACTCGGTAAGTGTGGCCTAATGGGCTGATATGATTATAAATTAATACAATCAATTAAATTAGTTAATTCTGTAATCAATTACTCGTAATTATCATTTAATTTAGCAGAATAATTTGTTTTATAGGCGCTGATGACGATGATGATGATGATGCTGACGTTGTTGGAGCTTCATTTGTTGGTAGAATCGGGCGATGAATTCTTCCGCCTTGACGTCGATCATCTCGTCACCTTCGATGGCGTCGAACACCTCGTCGGGATCGGAGCCGGCGGCGTCCAGATCTTGGAGATTTGTGGCGGAGGCGTACCGGCTCATCGTGCTGCTGCCGCAGGAGGAGACGTGCGACGGCGACGGGGAGCCGGTGAGCGTCGCCAGGTTTTCGTAGGAACAGGAGGGCGACATGGACGGGAGGGACGGGGTCGGAGACCGGTCCTGCAGGGTCAACGGCCGCATTGACCCCACCACCGTCTTCCAGTCGCCGCCGCTCTTCGTCTTCTTCTTCTTCGCCGACGACGGCCTGCTCTTTTCGTTCTCCGGCGAAAAGATGTTCAGCGCCGCCTTGAGGAGGCTGAACGACTTGCTGCGGTTCTTCTTCTTGAAACTTCCGCCACCGGTGGGGGTTGGCGGGGCGGCGGCGGCGGCATCCGAGCAAACGGCGTCGTTTGCGCCTTCAGTTTCGGTCGGGGCCGCGACTTCTTCGCAAACGTCGTCGTTCGCAAATTCAATTTTGGTCGGGGCGGGCGGTGGGGCGATCTCAAAGCTGGCGGCGCCGTCTGCGCCTTCAATGTCGGGTGGGGAGGCGATCTCGAAGCTGACGGCGCCGTCGGGGGCCGGCGGGGGCACGGCGCGTTCTTCTTCCTCCTTCATCGTTAGGATCGAGGCGAATATCGGGTCGGGTCGGGTCGATCAAAAGGTGCCCCGCGAAATGCAGGGCGATTTGAAGGGGGGAAAAGCTCTGGGGAAATTGGAGTCCAGACTCGTCGCCATCTATATATGAAGGATGGCCATGGAAGAGGGAATGAAGCACAGGCAACCAATTACATCTCTATCTTTGACAGCAAGAGAAGCAGTTTTTGGACCGGTCAATTTTCGTAAATCTCTCCTTACCTTTCGAATCCATCCTGAAAAAATTTAAAAAATAAAAGGTTTTATTACATTTTTAAGTGTCATTAGACATGTTTGTATTAATCTTGATTTGTATCTAAATGATATCGAACTAGTCTCAGTCAGACCGAACTAAAATTTCAAAATCGGAATCGATACAACGTAAAATCTTATATTAAAATGAAAAAATTTGTTAAACATCGTTACGAATTAAATACTGTATCGTGTCATACCATGCTCGCCCCTACACTTGGGAATGCATCCCCATCTGATTCTTTTTGGAGAGACTAATTCTTAATTAAAAATTATTGTATGTGACACTAATGATGTTATTCTTGGTATCACTCTTGGTGTTATTATGTCGTGACTCTAATGGTATGTTTGGTAAACGGAGTTAACGAGATTGAAATTTAATTGAAACTGAAATTCTATAAAAACAAATGGGATGTGATAAATTCTCCTATTCGAGTTCATTTTTTTTACTATCGATTTCAAACCCACATATTTTTGTACTATCAAATAGAAATGAAATTAATATCTTTAATTCCAATTTCATGATTTGAATTTCGTGCTAGTAGACACCGCAAAGAAGGGGGCCTAGGTTGTAGGCGTCGTCCCTAATGTTGTTGGCAAAGCCAACTTATTGGGTTTCGAGTGGGTGTGGGGACTCGGGTCGGGGCGTAACGTAACAATTCCATTTAGAGCAAGACGGGCACAGGCGATGGTCAGACGACGACTACTTTTAGCGATTGGAACGCGAAGCACTAGCGCTACAGGGTTGGTTGGGATAAAGAATGAACCAAACCAAATGATGGTACATGCACTCTAAGTTAAAATTTTAAGTTTGATGTTTGTGTTTGTAGATATGATGCAAGGTATAATAGTCTTACATCAAGATCTAACAAAAAATCTAAAAATCGATTTCGCAATAGTGCTTCTTCCCCCGCTTTGGAAGCTGGCATTAGCAAGTGGGCGGGAGCATTGGAGGGGAGGTTTAAAGTAGGCACAATCAGGATGAAGATTCCAAGGTTTGAAGCTTTTATAGTAAATATAATTTCATGATTGAATAGAGTTTCGTAGAGTCCTTAAATTGAACAATGTTATATTTTTTTGTTCTACCTTGTCAATCGAGATTTAAGTCATGTTCTCTTCATATGATTTGAATATTTGAATAGATTTTTACATAAACATATTTTATAAATTTTAATATTTTAAAATTGCTTTAAAAAAATTATTGATATTGCATTTGAAAAATGGAAAGAACAAACCGTTCTCTTTAGGATAGAAAACCCATCTTTCCTTTGCAGATTCTCAATTTGCCAAAACAGTGAAAGTGACGGTTTAACTTTCATCCATTTGTTGGAAGCTCGCACGGCTTTCCTCCGGCCATCACTGAGCAGTGTGGAAAATGAATTGACGGGGACGGAGCGGATGGGTTCTCACTGATATGGGGTCGGAAACCAACGTATCGCCTGCGTCGCCTTCATCGGCGGCGGCCATGGCGTCCTCATCCCCCGCTGCGAAGCGAAGTCGAGACCCTGAAGATGAGGTTTATATCGACAATTTGCACTCCCACAAGCGTTATCTCAGTGAGGTAGGTGCCTTTTACCCTTATCTCCCTCCCTCCAATCCTCCATCGCTCTAACCTATTCCCATTTCCATGTTAATAATCCCAGATTTTTCCTTTTAACATTTCAATTTTCTCGAAGTAATTTATGGAGCCTCAAGAGCTCACATAGGAAATTGACATTGGATAGAAAGTTTTTACTGCCGAGGATTATGGCAGAAGTGTAGTCTATTTGTTGTTTCAATCTCAGATGCTATCGGTTTGTGAGGCGAGGGGTTATAGCCATTGCCTAGAATTTTCTCCGATTCGTTTGAAATGAGCTAAGGCGTTTTGGTCAGATTTGTAATATGAGTACCTTTGCCCTTTTGCTGAAATACGCAGAACCATTTTCACTAAATTGCACTCAATTCGTGCCTAGGAAGAGGAAAAAGTACTCGAGCGAAAAGATCCCTTAGATAAAGAACTATTGCACATGGTTAAGCGGTCTGATGAAGCTGTGGGATGTACTTATAATGCTATTCTGTTAGGCGAAAAAGAATTTATGAGAAATTGGCGACCGACCCAAATGAAGATTGGTTGTTGTTTCTACTGGATCGCCTTCGTGATCAACCTCTTGAACCTATAAATACATTCCCTCCATCTCTGGAGATAGGATCAAACTCTTGATATACAAATGGTTTATTTCCGGTGGATTAAAGTCTGCCATGACAACCTTCTTGTAGAAGCATATTCATGCCTGTGGTGTATAAGATTACAACCAGTCGAATTCAAGTTTGATCTGTGAGCTAATCTGTCCATAGCTGCTCTAAGAACTCTCCATAATCTTGTCTCAAATACAAACGCGTCCATACCAAAGAGACAAGAGGGAAGAATGGAACTTACTCATGTTCCTCTTCTTTTTTCTTTTTTTGCAGATAATGGCATCGAGTTTAAATGGATTGACTGTTGGAGATAACTTAGCTGATGATAGTCTTGTGTATTCTCCAAGGTCTGAAAGCATGTTCTACATTTAGGCAAATCTATACGCCTTTTTTGTTTCACTAACATTTCTTTTTTATGATCCACGAGATTCACAGAGATGATTTATCTCTACAATATTCACCAATGTCGGAAGATTCAGATGACTTGCCGAGCTATGAGGTTTCCATGCACGTTTGTTCATCTCAGCCAGAGAGCAGCAGCATGCCAACCAGTCCTGTTTCTCCATACAGACACCAGAGGCCATTGAGTGGGCTCTCACCATTCCCTCAAACCACTCCGACCCACGGATGCAACTCTCATCATGTTTCACCTTGTAATGCCCGCCAGCGAGGCTCGGATTCCGAGGGCCGATTCCCATCATCACCAAGCGACATATGCCACTCAGCTGACTTGAGGAGGGCGGCACTTTTGAGGTCTGTGCAGATGAGAACCCAACCCCATGGGGCCGCAACTCTCTTTGACCTGTCACTTAATCAGGGAGGCCACGAACATAGTTTGGAAACTGACGAGGGTGATTATCAGATTGCAGAATGTTCTTCGTCTTTGAGAGTGTCCGAATCTGAAGGACTAGAAAAACACTGTGGGATGTCGGAGGATACGTACCCTAAAAGGAGTACGTCTAATGATTAACCACTCTCCAAATGTTTGGTGACATTGTGTGTGTGTGTGTGTTGCCACTAATGTAACCAAATTTGTGCAAAGGGCAGTGTTTCTAGGGTAGGGCCTAGGGTTGTGTGTTCTTTGATATATGGAGTAAGATTCATTCCTTACAGTTATATGTGGAATTGGACATGGTGATTGGTGACCCATAATCATGACTATGATCATATTTTCATGAGATCAGTGTGTTTCATATGTAATTTGTACCAACACCACACAGATTAGGTTCCCTAGTAAACCTTAGCAAAAGAACCCAAAGAGATAACTTGATGATGATAAAAGATGAGTGAAAACTTAAAAAGTCAGAGATTTTTCTTTTTCAAATCATGTGCTATATAATTGACCGTAACTAAGTGGATGGAGTCCCCATGTTGGTTCTTAAGACCGACAATTCACAAAAAAAAATACAGTTGTACTATTGTCACATAATAGTCACATAAATCTGAGAACTCTAAGGGGTCTTGAACAATTTCACTTAGCAAAGCCTTGCAACAAAAACAGACCATCGGCGTTATTAATCATCGCTAATAGTGGGTGGGCACTGAATGTGCATTATCCCGTGATACAGCATCTCCAAATCTTGATAGTACATCTTCTTCAACTCCATCTGCTTTTTGAGTTCATCAAGGGTAGTGCTGAACCGTAGACCCCTCTCGGGCCAATCAATCTCGTTTTCGGGAATGGATGCCTTAGAGTTGTTTGGAAGTATAGATGCTACTAAGTGGCTCCCAGCAATGCTATAACCATTCAGCCTATTTTAAAAAAATCAGGAGAACAATGAATTACTATGTAGATTGTGTGCAGTAAATACACTTCTTCCTCCCATCTCTCCCTTTTCCCTTCCCCAGGGGTAAATTCGTCAGTCGTCACAAAGAAAAACAGACTGGAAGAATTTGAAAGGGAAATAAATATAAAGAATAGGGAACACTATGTATAAACTATAAATATAAAGAATAGGGAACACTGTGTGTGTGTGTGTATAATCATTAAAAAAAGTGATGTTAAGAAATGACCATGGCGAGCATACGAAAACAATGGGTGATCTATACTTACTTCCTCACTATTCCTGTCGAGTCTGATTCACTCCCAACTTTAAAGAATGCATCCACAGAATCCTTACCCACCCATGCCAATCCTTCAAAATTTCCAACCTTTCCACAGAGCGAATGCATGTCGTGGATGGATACCCGGTCATCAACACCATTGATTCTGATTGTTGAACTATATGCAATGAAGGCATCATCCACATGTTCCTCCATGGGTTGACCGGATTCACCCAAAGCACCAGTGTCATTGACTTTGACTGCATCAATCGGCCTGTTTGCACTAAAAGAACCCAGAAGTTGATTCATGGCTTGATTTGATTCACCACGAGTTAAGATGCTTCCCTTCTCGCCGCCACACTTGTTCACTGGATGACTCTTGTTGTTGGATAACCTTTTTCTTACAAAGTCATTTTGCCACTGTGCCAAAAGAGCTTCTCATTACTTTCTCCAATTATATAAAGATAAACAAGACGCGTGCAATTATCAACATATTAAATTATAACAAGGCTGACTCAACATAAAACCGAATAATCTATGAACAGATAAGGGACACGTTGGCATTTGTGAATTAGTAAGCGTGGAGTTGTGTTGGCGTGAAAAGGTTTCTTTAGTAAGTTACGACATTAAGTGATTTGACTTGCGAGAGTGGGCGTGTTTTTTTGTGCAAATTTGTTTTTTTTGTGCAAAACATGGAAAAGTTTTGCGCTAAACACTAACTTATCAAATGAATTTAGTACAAAATGTGACTTAGAAGCACACCAATATCAAACGGGGGCCCAAGTAAAGAACATAATTGATGTGCCCCATGTTAATCGCTAATAAACCATAATCGTCACACATCCTTTGGATTGTGCACCACGGTAATAAACCCTTCAGGCCTTCAACAATGAAAATGGTTGAGCAGTTTTTATTTATTATTGCTTGTAGCAGTTCTCAGTTGTGAACGCCCATTTCCCATGCTTGGAGGCTGGAGCCCCTCTTGATACTAAATTCTCACATATATAGTCCTACAATTTACATACGAAATCATATGCTATAATGGTCATCGTGTCGTTTCCAAAGATGATGGTTGGGCTTAGACTTGGGTTGAAACATGCTAGTATGCTTGTTCTCCCCCCAAAGGGGGACTCAGGTTGGCAAATAGGCCGGACCGGTCCATAGAATAATTGAAATGACTTTCGCAGGTTATGAAGTGTAGCCTGTAGTAATGAATCCAAATCACAAGCCCTGAAATGATGGTACATTTACCTTAAAGCGCTCCGGTTTCTCTGTTGCCAATTTGAGACGTGAAGCATCATTTTCATTCACAGCAGGGCCCAATTCTGCAAAGCTGTCATCTTCCTTTACGAAGCTGATGAATGAGCGGTTTGAGCTTCCACTCCCTTGGCTCCACGGCCTGGAAAATCCATAGACAAAAAAAAAATTAAGTGCTATTCGCATAGGACGTTACAATCGAATGGGAACGAAACCCTGGTTTTTTACCCAAGAGCAATGTAGAAAACAACAATCGTTTTGCACCAAATCTAATATGAAATTATACCTAAATTTCAACGCTTCACATGTTCGTTGGACTGGAAGTGCACATGTTCGTTGGACTGGAAGTGTTCTGCAAATGTTTATCGAACGACCACCTACAAATGTACATCAACATAAATGCGAATTCAGGAAAAAAAGTTAGGGTTTGAGAAGAATGTTACGAGCGTTAGATAGCAATGAACCAGCTAAGGAGGAGATGGAAGCCGCGACTCTGGACTTCATTTAGCCGTCACTGACTCCCATAGACGGATGAAGATGGAGCTGCGAGTGAGAATATGAGAAACGAAACCCGGCCCTTATACTTTTTCCATTTTTTGGAGTTAATATATTTAAGGAGTAATTCAATTTCTTTGATTATAGAGGTAAATTTAAAAATTATTCATAAAATTTATTTATTGAAAATAACATTGAAAAATTTATAAAACAAGATGTGACGTGATTATGATCTGTTGTTAACTATAGTAACTAGAAAAAATAGATAAAAAGAATAGAAATAACTTAAATAAAACAAAAACATTGAAAAATACCAAAATACGAATTATATTTTTTTTCTCCGAAATAGAAGTTCGCACTGTGGTAATGTGCTGGTAATGTGACATTGTACATGTGCACATTACTATACTTTTTAGTAATTTACATGACCATGTTTGGTAATGTAGATGTATTTTAACTCCTATCTCGCGAATAAAAACATGATATTCATATTTTGGTATATTTTTGATGTTTTACTCTTACTTTAGTCTTTTTCCCTAAAGAGGAATTATTAAAATTTGATCACATAAATAGTGTTTAGGAAGAAAGTTTTAAGACATAAGTTGTGAATTTTTTATTTTTATTCTCTTTTTTAAAAAAATATATTAAAGTAGAAGTATTTTCTTACCGGATGCAACCAAAGTCCACCATAAAATTTGTTGTAATTATTAATTTACTATGGTGTGTAATTAATAAAGGAAATTACTCCGTATAAGTAGAAAAAATTACTAACAATAAAACTGAAATTATACTCCATCATTTTCATACTAACTTTTTCTTAAGATTTATTAGATATATTAGATTTTCAATAAATGTAAACTTAAGTATATCTACATCATTCATTTAAAATCTAATGTATCTAATAAACTTTAATAAATAGTTATCATGGAATGAAAGGAATACGTGAAAGTTGATTTTTTTTTCTTCTCCAAATAGAACTGAGTTGATTAACTAATTATTCTCACCTTCTACTAAAGTTATTTTAAGTATGTCAAAAAGTAGATAAAATTGACCTGATGAATAGTGAATGGTAATATAATTTGTAAAAGGATGAAGTAATTAATGTTAATGCAAATGTGTGCAAATATCGTTTTCTATATTTATACTTTTTAATCCTAACTTTCAACTATTTATTCATGATTATCATATCCATTTTCAAGCTATCATCGATGCCACAACCAACCTCTGTGACACTCCTAATGGATATAAACTCGATATTGACCCGAGTCTGCGCATGGATGCTCGAGGGTCAGCTTGCCGTCAACACCCTAGAGCGGTGAACTACCAACCCGCTTGAGTAAGATGGTGGTGACACGTCGTGAGGGGATGCATCCATACCCCGACCCCCAAGCAGTGGTAGCACGTTGCGTAAGAGTCTAGTGAGTCGATAATGAAGTGACTAGGGTCAGAGCAATGGGCCTTAAGAAATATGCACCAACAGCCAAAAGTGCAACTGCTACCAAGATCCAACCCTGATAATCTACACCCTATCGCTATCATCTCCATCATTGTTAAATCCATTGTTGATCATTGTTTACTTTCCTTTTCCATGATGTTACTGTGCATTGATGTCGTAATTATTATTATTTACTCCCCATCATTGGTATTGATCATCGCAATGTTGGTACCGCTCAATATTAACCACCGTGAAAAGGTTACTCTCAGTCGCATATGATAATAGTGTTCACCATTATTATTGCATTTTGTCAAGAGATAATTGACTTGCGTTATTGTCCTTTGTCAGAATATCATTTTCAATCACAACAATAATACAAATCTGATGGTGTGGAGGAAGAAAAAACAATCAGAAAGCGACACAAACATGACACGGAGGAATAAGTAAGAAAGAAAGGTAGATGCTTGCCGCAAGTAGAAGGTGGCAATGGCTCAACTTTGATGTGGGGGAGGAGAGGACGAAGAATAGTTGTGCCGGTCCCTAAATAAGAGCCACTGACCCCATTAACAAAAACAACTATACTCTTTAAAGGTAAGCCAAGATCATGTGACTGACTTCCATACGCTGGATAAAGCTGAACATAAACTCAAAGGTTCACTTTACACATCCAAGCTCGAAGTAGACCGAACACATCCTATTAAGTTGGAGCTTTGGAGACATAGGGTGAGCTTTGGATAGTCTCCTACAACTCAAGCAAGTGGGAAAACAAAGATGAGTAAACACCAAATCGATCTTGAAATTTATTAAAAAAATCAAACTAAAAAAATATTACAAAAAGATAAAATCACATTAAACTAAAATATGTGATATGATATTGATACAAGTTAAATATTAGGAGTATATCATTATCATTGCTCTTGAGGGAATGACTATGAAAAGGGCCATCATTGTCATTCGCTATACGGATATGGGAGGGGTTGGTCAGATGCTCAGATCAAAGACATAGACAACAAGTCTTGGCTGTCTTGCTAGGCTACGACCCTACGAGCAAGAGGCAAGACCTATCTATTCCTTTAGATGCTAATCTCTTCGCTCTTTGTACGCTTATGCATATACACATTCATACATCCCTCCCCGGTGGCTTGAACTGTTCATCGTGGAATTCGTTGAAAATGGAATTTGTTTGAAAATTTATCACACCCTTCACTCTGCTCAACGCCGCCACGAATGGAATTCTCAGGGTTTGCAGTACTCAATTTTTTCTGTTGCTAAGGAATTCTCGTTTTCACAGGTCATTTGGCGTCCTCAGTTTTCATCTCCAGCAAGTGTATCATGGGCGTTGTGGAAGCAGTTCCCGAACCTGTCGGTTTAAAGCAGCCATGGGTTCTTACCGTGCATTCCTTTTCTGATTTATCGCATGTTCCGCCGGTTGTATTCTTATACCTTCTGAAAGAATGTTATGTCTGCGGTAATGTTTCTCGCCTACTGTGTTCATATATTGTTGAACCATAATGTCTTTGAGCTGTTTTGAACAGAAGCCAGCCACTTGCTATTTTTTTGCTCATATAAAGCAGACATCTTTTAGGTGCCACCAGATTACTTTGTTATAAATTTCCAGTATGTATCCAATATGAATCAAGCTTCTGTTGTGGGGACAGATAGAGGTGGATTTCTTTTTCACTCTTGCTGGCATCATGTGACTTTTGCAAAATGCTTTTCATGTAATGATTGGATTCCTCTCGGACCGAGGGCTTGCCGGAGCTAGCACTGTACAAGCTTGCTCGTAGATTTTAGGCAGACGCGAGCACAAGCAAATTAAACAATCTCACTAAACGTTTGGGTAACTAAATAAGTGAACTTGAACAACATTTGGGAGCTCATTATGAGTTGACAGGGAGCATCGTGTAGTTCTATTGTATTTGTGTGGTGTAAACCAGTTTTCTATTCTTGCAATAGTATGTTATCCTTAGACATGTATATGCTACACATTGATGACTTTGAGGTGAATCGATGCTAATTTAACATTTTTTCTCCACTGTACTTGCCATGTTATTGTTCGGAACCACGTATTAGTAATACACACTATGCAATACATGAAGATCAATTAAAATTGATCTCTAATGAATAATAGCCATTCCCAGATACTATGTAATACATGAATATAATTGACCTCTATAATTGATCTCTAATGAATAATAGCCATTCATAGACCCAATCTTTGTGAAGCTCCCCTATTGTTTTTTTGTTGCTAAATCTTCGTAATACTTGATACTGTGTTACAATTATAATTTTTTAGGACGATTTAGTATCTCTTCGTGGAAACTAGCTACTCCATTAAAGTAATCTTCAAACATGGTGAACATAAGTACATAACGAATGAAAATTTATGCAATTACAAGATTGCATAAATTTGTGGCATCTCAGACCCCACGCTGTGAAGTTTTACTGGGGTTGTTGTTGTACAAAATTGTGGGATTTTACTGGGGTTGCATTTCACATCTTTTAAAGAGTTTTCTTGTTTTATATTAAAAGCCGTCTTTGTTAATAATCAGGAAGGGTTCGGGCATGGGATTGGAGTTTATCCTAACATTTTTTGTTTTGTTAGGGAATTCAAAAGCTACTACAAAGTTTCGTGCTCTTCAACAACAAGTCTATCTGGCTCTTAACAATGCCCCTCATCCTGGACCAGCTGTGTTTGTCATTCACTGCATGTATGCGCTGCCGTTGTTTGAATCATATGCTGAAGGTTTCAGCCATTTGATTATATCTGCTTTACGTAGATTCCTGAAATACAATACCAACTCAGCTGACACTCTACAAGCTCAGGATCTTGCTGCTCAGTTATTTTTGAATGTTGTTCAAGGATCTGTAATCCATGACGATAGGATTCTTACTAAGATTATTGAAGTTTTTAATGTCAAATTTGTAAATCTTGAAAAAGCTTGGGCAAGTAAAGCATCAAATAAATCTGGTTTTGACAAGGCAGAAGCATTTATTGAGAGTTATGTCCAACAGTTCATAGAATCTCAGTCATATATGACGGCTGTGTCTCTGTTGGAACAGTTCTCTATCACACTCTCTGGAGAATCTCTTCTGTTCAAAATGTTACAAGAGCAGGATTTTAAATCAGCCGAGAAATGGGCAACATATATGGGTCAGTCCTTGCTGTGTGTTCTTGTAGACGAATACGTCAAAATGAATAAACTGAAAGCAGCATATCGAATTATAAAGAAGAACTCTCTTCAAGAGATTTTTCCAGATGTGTACCATAAGTGTAAAGAAAGGTGATTTTCCTTATGAATTGTTACTTCAGAATGAGATTCCAGCCTCCTGTTTAAAATATAAGCATTGCTTGTCCAAATGGTAGTGCATTGAAGACTCTAGCAGAAAAGGGATGCTGGGATGTTGCTGAATGGAAGGCGCAGAATGATAGACAACTTCTCGAATATCTGGTAAGTGGCATGTTGATAAATCTAAGCTTAAATCAATCCTAAACATTTTTTTTACTAATGAAAGAACATCTAAGGAATTGTCCAAGAGACCACGTAAGCTTTACTTGTGGCGAATTCCATATAAAATTAGTTTCTACACGTGTGCTAGTGAGATTATGTGTATGCTGTAAAATTTATTTGCTTGCTATGACTTACTATTTGTACTTATGTCAATATTACAACTTCATTTGTTTGGTCATGCCCTCATGCGTAATATTATGTTTCCGAAACAAAATTTGCACTCTGACTACATTCCTTATAGTGTACCTGCCTGCCAGATAGGTTTTAACACCTACGTTTACTTTAAAAGGTATATCTAGCACTGGAAGCTGGCTACTCGGAGAAAGTTGATGAATTATGTGATCGATACTCCTTTGAAGGATTTGTTAAAGCTAAAGGTATCTGAATTGGTCTCATTCTCTCCTCATTAATCATATTGCAGGCTTTAGACTCTTTTTTTTGGTGGGAGTGCGGGATATAATACATAGGATGTTCTGGACGGTATGCCCCATTACGCATTTGCATGATGTCAAAATGTTGAATGATGATGGTGTATGTAGTAAAAGATGTCTTGGAGTTGCAATTTCTCAATCTGTGGATTTTGCAAGTAGTATGGGGTTAAAAAATAATAGTGCTGATTGTGTTGATTATGACAACATACCCAGTAAAAATTTGGTTCGCTGAAAATTGCGAACAACTGAACCATACGATTAATTAGGATTTCTAGATCAATTATCTGATATTTTAGTTTAAGTTTTCAATTAGCTGGTTATCAAATATATATTTTAAATGTTTTTCCCACTATATATGCATAATATTGTTGACCCTATATAAAACTAACAAAATACTGAGTATTAGACGAAATAAAAAATGATATAAGATGATAATGTACACAAATAATACAATCCACAAACGGAGCCTATGTGGTAGGAGTTTTGGCAATGACACGAACCCCAGATAGAAAAACTTGAACTTGTCAAAGTTTGTGTTAGTAAACTTGTAGCCGTATCAATTATTGATTATTGAATGTAAACCCTATTCGTAATCCTCACAATTTTCTTCGTGAGCAAGTAAATAGAGTTCTATTCTATTATGATATTGCTATTAGGAATATTAACTAATACTGTACTAATGGAAACTATCATTAGTACTACTAATTAATAATGATAATGAATTAATGACGATAATATAACAATAATAGTAATAATAATGATGATGTTAATAAGAATAATAATAGTAATAGGAATCTAATACTTATCTATTGACGATTCTTAAGCTTATTTGATTCTCCAATCCTTTCTACAAGCCTGTATAATAGTGTTCTTGTTGTTACTTTTGAAGTATATTGTGCCTTACTACCAACCAATTTGCTTTTGCTCATTATATCATATAGTACTTCAACCGAGCTGTGTGCCTCAAAAGGTATGTGTATTCCATCCCAACTCCTAAAACGGTGTTGTTTTGAGTATGCAGAGCCTGAAGCCTGTCCTATTCAAAGTCACTATTTGAATCTTCATGAACTGCTAATAGATGATTTAACTTGGGTTGATGATGTTGAGGGTCTACAAAAAGCTACTTCTTATATTGAAGGGTGTAAAGTTGTGGGTGTGGATTGTGAGTGGAAGCCTAACTATGTGAAAGGCAGCAAACCCAACAAGGTATTGCGGTTAATTTGTTTTTAATATTTATTGGGAGATATTAATCCGTGCATGACCAGGTTCTTGTTATTGGTCTCATTTATCTCTTCAAAGGACTACCAAAAATCATAGTGCGTGGATTGGTGGTTAAGATGCTTGTTATGAATATACCACAACAAATCCAGTTCAATCCCACAAAAGTAGGGTCTGGGGTGAGGGAGAGTGTACACCTTACTCCTACAGTCCTACTTGGAATTAGAGAGACTGTTTCGATGAGACCCTGCTCAAGCACAAAAGTAAAAACATTCTGTAATGATTATAACTGGGATAAATGAGCTATGCTCAATTAGCCGTAGAATAGTGGGCAAGTATTGCTATATATAGTATGGATGAATGATGATTGGATGTTAGTGTGATGAGATTTTATGTTTGATATTGTTAATGAAATATCTTCTCTCTTGGTATTCTTCCCCTTTTGGCCCTTAATTGGGATATACATCTTCTTCTCTACTCGAATTTTTTAGGTCATAACAGATTCTTTCTGGTTGTAGCTCCTTTGATTTTTTGGGTGATCAAATAGCTCCTTTTGAGCTCACAAAGCTAAATCCCAACTACACACTACTCTCTGCCCCGAATGCCTGACAATAACAGCACTATTCCACCCCTAATGTTTCTAAAGCTTGGGAGTAGACCTTTACAATACTTGGGGCCCTATTGATGGGTATGTACCTCAACAAAAGCCTTGTTTGGGAACAATTTTTTCGATTAGCGTTTTGGATAAAATTTTAATGGTGTGGATTCATTTTGAAAATGTTAACGCTAAAGGTTGTCGTTAGATAGCCTTTTCAAAATGCTAATGTTAACCTCTAAAACTATTTCCAAACAGGGCCTAAGCAAGGTAGACCTGGTGGGGTGGGATGGTGTAGTGTCTGGCCCATTAATTTTGAATTTTCAGAATAGTCTAGGAACACACAATTAATGGACATTTTTATCCAGTCCATTATAACTTATAAGTTAAAGCAAAAAGAGTTATTGAATCATTTTATCTGCAATGAAATAGAATTATAGTTAATGTGTGAATAGTTTTAACTGAATCCAGGATTTGTAGCATCTTGGTGAAGGTGATAAATTGCTTTTTTCTATTTTTCATCTCTGATCCACACCCTTTGGCAGGTTTCTATCATGCAAATTGCCTCCGAAAAGGCTGCTTTTATCCTTGACTTAATTAAGCTGTATGATGATGCTCCTGAAATTATGGATAGCTGCTTAATGCGCATTTTTCATTCACGTAGTTTATTGAAGCTAGGTATGTGAATTCTCAGAGTGCTTCTTATATTTTTTTGTTCACTTCTCTTGCTTTACTTTCACTTTATAGTGTGCGAGAAAGGGGTAGTTAGGGTGTGCTAAGTGTACCTCTTTCTATGGACATGATACTCTCTCCGTTCCAAAAAAAGGTTCCACAAAAAACATGTGGTTGAAAATTAAAATTAGTGCAGATGAGAAAATTAATATGAGCCACAGAAGTTTTTTCAAAAGTAGAAAGTGATTTTTTATGAGACATGCAAAAAAAGATATGTGGAACCTTTTTGTGGGACACCGAGAATAACACTATTTGCTCTTGTTAGTTGTTACAGTTAACAAAACGAGGTGGAAAAACTTCGAACTTTCACATTTCTAATCTATTTCATTAGTGTTTGTCTATTAGTGAGTTTTATGATATTTGTGGCTTTCTGCTTTTCCAGGCTATAATTTTCAATGTGATATGCATCAATTGGCTCGTTCTTACCCAGAGTTTGAGTGCTTCAGGCGTTATGAAATGCTTCTAGACATCCAGAAAGTGTTTAAAGAGTCTTGTGGTGGATTATCTGGCCTAACAAAGGTACTTTTATCTATGAATGGCATTTTTCCACGTTCTTATTACCCTAGTGGATCTTTTACCTTTCACCATGTTATGCTTCTACTACCATATTATAAATAAGGTTAGTTCAAATCTCATGCATGTTTATGCCCCGATTGATGATCATTTTTAATGGTCATTTTGCTGCAATTTGGTTATTTTAATAGTTCCGATCACACAAGTATTAGAATTGACCTTGTAGCAAGAATTTAGCCCATAGAACTTGACTCAGTGCAATTCTTCTCATAATTATCTGCGAAACCCTCTCTCTCTGTAAAGGTTATATTGAATCTTTACTTAAATATCCATCTTTTCCATTATAAAGGATGAGAATAAGAAACCTATCTTGCTGGAGATGGTGAACTAGATTTTGTGCGATAAATTCTACCTACATAGTCAATTTAAATGTTAAAACGTCATTAAACTAATCAAAATGGCATTACTGTCACAAGTTGTCAAATGAAAAAACAAAATTGTCACCCAAGGATAAATAGTGTCTGTGTATGTTTGCCTTGATTTTTTCATATTTATATTTGCAACATGTCATTATCTGTGCAGAAAATACTGGGTACTGGTCTAAACAAGACGCGAAGGAATAGCAACTGGGAGCAACGACCTCTAACCCAGCAACAAGTCAGTAGTATTGC